TGTATGTATATATTGCAAAATATGAATCTCTCTATCTCTCTCTCTCGATATATATATATATATATATATATATCTCAATAAATATATCTCAATAAATGTAAAATATATAGTTTCTATATGCATAATCAACTAGTTTGATATTTATCCATAATTTTTACATCAGATTTTGCCGTTCACATTGTTTCATGTTAAAGCTGTTAAGTACACAGTCTTCTACCTTTTTTGTCTTTTTGTCTGTTGCACGATTTTTTTGGCTTCAAATCTAAATTTGTAATGTTGTGATTCGCCTTGCAACATCAAGTAACTAATCATGGTCATCGCCTGTGATGTAAATTCATTTCAAACATTGGCTTTTTATTAAAACACAAAGCATATGTCTAGTCCCAAAAACTTCTTTCAATAGAAAATGTCATTACAGAAAATTGTGTTATTGAAGCATTTTGTGAAGTCTGTAAGTTTGTTTATATTGGTGAGGAGCTGCTCTTTTCACACATTGAAAAGTTGCACCAATATTGTGTACCCTTATTTTCCTCTCTTTGTCTGAACCATTGTTCTGAGAAGTGTGTATTTAAATAAAAACAGAGGTTTACGTAATTAAGACTAGTAGATGACTTCATTTTCACTTCCTGTGCCTCCTGAGCTGAAACGCACAACACAACAAAGAAAGGCTTTCCTATCTTTATCCTTCATGTTTCTGAGGGACCATTTTAATGTTTTGAACAGTTCTGTACAAATAGATTAAAACTGGATATATTTCAGTTCATTTCCTAGTTCAGGGACTCAAAAGTCATGTGAGTAGTAGTCGATCATGGGAATAGCTGTTTCCATCACCCTGTTTTTAGGCGCATTGCATCAGAAACGAGTGATGGTAACACCAAATTTCGAAAGAAAAAAAAATCCCTTAATCCGCAAAAAAGTTTTTATGCTTGCTTGAGGTGGTTTTTGACTGGTGCGAAAAAGTGTTAATGCGAATAATGGGAGAGGGAAACGCATTTGCCGAATAAACTCCTCCATGTGCATCAAAAAAGTCATGTGACTGCGCAATGGGACGGGATAACTTGACTAACCAGCGGACCGTTGCACAGCATCTGAAATGTTGTTATGGTCATTCTTAACTTAAATGCCTGCAAATTCTGTCGTTAAAGTGTTTCTGTATAATTGCCTCCCAGAACTGTCTTACACGACTGCGTTCCCAAACAGCAGGTATCCACCTCCGAAAGCAATGACCGCATTTATTGTTTCGTCTGCTCGCACTGAGGCGCAAGTAATTTATTATATATGAAAATTATTCTATTCTGTGGCTTCACCTACATTTCTTGGTGATATTTAGTGGCAGTTTATCAGGAAGTGACAATTTTGTTCTATTGGACTCGTTGGATGGAAACGGTGCTTATTCGCGAATGTTTTATGCGATATTCCAATTTTGCGCAGCGCATAAGTTAAATTTGCAGCTTTGGATGGAAACCCAGCTATTGATTGGCTGTGTTTGAATTGGAATATGTTGTGTGTACTGCCTCCAATTTAATAAAAATAGGCTGAAACTGTTTGCAATATGTAACGAAAAACATTTAGTTAGCACCGTAATATGAAATATCAGGTTACCTCATTGTTTTGCATTTTTAATTGTGGAATTTAGTTGTCATCTTGGAAATAATGCTGATTTTAATACATTTAAATTCTACGTTTTTTAATACATTTTAAATTCACAGAAAGTATTTTTATACATTTTAAATGTATATTGTTAAATTTTGGCAGCCTAATCATTTTAAATGTATATTGTTAAATTTTGGCAGCCTAATCAATGAGATATTAAAAATAAGGGTTGGTATTACATCTGGTTGACCACATTGCATTGTGGGATACAATACCCATCCTAGTAAACTCTGTGATACACATATTGGAAAATATAGGCCAGATGGGTATTCCATGCATGCAGTTCGCATACTATGCTCTACACTACAGAAATAGAAAGAGTAGTATAGCAGTATGGTATTCTGAACATAGCCAGGCAAAGTGTTTACTAATCCAGATGGAAGTGTGGCATTGTGTTGTTGAGCAGATAGGTCCACTTTGCTTGGCACCAGCTACATAAAGCAATGGTCTCTGGCAGATTTGCCATAGCTAAACACCTCAGCCTGTGGCAGTGTTTACAGACGCACTGCTTCCAAGTGATTCACATCTTTGTTTTTCATTTTCCTCTTAGCAGGGCAAAGAAAAGTACACGTAGTTTAGATCAAGTGAGCGCACCACACCCATCTCCACTTTGTTCTCTGTGCACAGGGCTGTGTGTATCTAACACACGTGAAGCCTAAGAAATGTGTTTCCACTTACTTAACAAGGAATATGCAAGTAAGGGCAATGAGCAGATTTAGCTTACACCTCAACAGCTGCTTGTCCTGTCTTGTATGTTTTCAAAATTCCTTTCCTGCATTTGCCATAATCTAGTATGCTTTCACACAAGTATTTTCACACAAGTATTATATTTTAGGCTTTTTTTTTTAACATTTACATCAAAATTTTAGCTGACTAATTAGGGCTGCAATGACTAGTTGATAAGCAAACTAAGTGTAGTCATTTTAATCAAAACTACAAAATGTATTGTTAAACATTAAATTAATTTTAGCGTTCAAAAGTTTGGGGTCGGGAAGACTTTATGCTTGGGGGTCGAAAGTCTCCTATGCTCACCAAGGGTGTTTTTCTTTGATTAAAAGTACAATAAAACCATAATAATATCAAATATTATTGCAATTTACAAAAACTGTTTTCTATTTTAGTATATTTTAAAGAATATTTTATGTAAGCAGGTATGATTGTTTATTGATATTAATTAAAACTTTAAGTAATACTTTAAGTATAGATTTTAATACTTGCACCCATCCAGAATCATTATTATTATTATTATTATTAGGGATGTAACGATTAACCGCGAGCCGGTTGAAAATCGATTCAAATATGTGACGATTCAAATCGGTTGAAGATATTTATTTTATTTGTGTTACTTATTTATTTGATTTGGGGCTTGTTTTAAAATTTCTATTTAGTTTTGTTATTTACATTTACATTATATTTAAATTTTGTAATTTAGCAGACGCTTTTATCCAAAGCGATTTACAAATGAGGACAATAGAAGCAATCAAAACCAACAAAAGAGCAGTAATATGCAAGTGCTATATTAGTATATTATTATTATAGTATTATATTTCAATTTCACAAAGAAATGTGCAGCATTTTGTCCAAGCAATAATAAAAGGACACATTTAATTTATAATTTGTCTTAAATCTAATTGTGTTAAAAAAAATTATAATAATCGTGAATCGAATCGAATCGTGAGTTGAGTGAATCGTTACATCTCTAATTATTATTATTATTATTATTATCTTTGTATGAATGAAGCAAATTATTTTTAAGTGTCTGATAATGGATATGGATTTAATCTTTTGTTTTATTTCTGTTTTTTTCACATAATTAATGCATGATTATTAGACTACGGCTGTAAAACATGCATTATGAATGTTTTGCTATAAATAATTAATTTCATTAATTATTAATGAAAACCATATTGGGAACTCACCACATGGTACCATTTTTTGGTAGACCTTATGATCAATAACAAAAAAAAAAAAAGTGAATATCAATGGAAAATATGGCTCAGACCGGTTACCTTTTTTATGCAATCATTATAATGGAAAATCTGAGAAATGCTGTGGAATGCATTTAAACATGGCAAAATGTGTTAAGCTGAGCTAATAGTACTACAATTTTTTTCTGGTAGCAGAAAGCACAATCAGATTAGACAAAATATTTAATAAATGTGCACACAGACTTGTGTAAATTACATGCATTCCAGTTCCACCCTGATTCTATCTTGGCCTGTCATGGGGCTAATTGCTTGTTAAAGGGGTCATATGATGTTGCTAAAAAGAACATTATTAATTGTATTTGGTGTAATGAAATGTGTTTATGCGGTTTAAGGTTCAGAAAACACATTCTTTTCCACATATTGTACATTATTGTTTCTCCTCTATGCCCCGCCTTTCTGAAACACGTCGATTTTTACAAAGCTCATCGGTCTGAAAAGCGAGGTGTGCTGTGATTGGCCAGCTATCCAGTGCGTTGTGATTGGCCGAATACCTCAAGCGTGTGACGGAAATGTTACGCCCCTACCATACTGTGATGATGCCCTGTCCGGCCGGAGCGACGAGCCGTTTTAGGTAGACGTGGCTGACTCTTAACCTTTATAAAGAATATCTCTTGGGATTTGAGACTTTAGTCTTTGCAACTTTACAGACCTTCTTTATGCACCAAGAGCTTGTAACACTCCAAAGAGAAAGGAAAAATTGAAATCGCATCATATGACCCCTTTAAGAACATGACATACTATAAATAAAGAGTTCATATGCATCTTTCACGGAAATGGTTTCTTTTGGCTAATTAATGTTGTGAGATGTGACCGGAAATTGGAGACTGTTAGACTGATGGCCTCTTTAAGGACTCCTGGGAAATTGCAGTAGAATGGTGCTCCTAAATGTATTCTTAATGTAATCGGTTTATCCATATTCCCAACACGGTAAATCTCTCGGATATGCGGAACTGAACAGACTCCAGTCAGACACTGAGCAAACGGCTGTTCCAGGACCTGGTGCTTCTTGTCACTGGTTTTCCTCACTGTCCTGAAGGCAGAATTCAGCCAGACATGTCATCCAGTACAACAGTGCACCAAACGTCCACTCTTATGGCTTTTTTTCTATGGTAGTAAACTGTTTCATTCTGTCCGACTCAGGGTTTTTCATTATCATCAAATTATTGTTAAAGGGGTCATATGATACTGCTAAAAAGAACATTATTTTGTGTATTTGGTGTAATGAAATGTGTTTATCCGGTTTAAAGTAAAAAAAACACATTATTTTCCACATACTGTACATTATTGTTTCTCCTCTGTGCCCCGCCTTTCTGAAACGCGTCGATTTTTACAAAGCTAGAGAAAGGAAAAAATGAAATCGCATCATATGACCCCTTTAACTAAAACTGAAACCATAAAAAATTGCATTTCTTGCAATGAATGAATGAATTTCTGCATGAATTAAAATGTCAGAAACACAAAAAAATTACTAAAACTTGACCTAAAATTAAAATGAAAACAGAAAATATAAAAATAAAATCTAAATCTAAATATTAACAAAAACTATAATAGTATATTGATACTAAAACCATTTTTTCTTATAAGGCCACACTGAGGCTTTTTAATGGCTAAGCTTTGGATAGATTATCATTGAAGGGGGAATCAGTGCCGTTTTCAGATCTGCGACCACTGCTGCATCAGCGTACTCGAGTGATATTTTCCCGACTGGATATTTTTGTTGCTTGCAAAGCCCCTCTGCACTTGAGTTTAGGATGTCAATTGAGTTAGCGAAGGGTGTCTTGAATGACCGCTCTGGCTTTGCATAGCTCCACAGTGTCATCTGTTCAACAAACAAATGCTGTTTATTTTATATGATAGAGGCTGTTTTAGCTTTGTTTTTGCTAAATAATAGCTCAGTGATCATATTGCTCATTTACAGTCTTTGTTCTCGCTGAAAAATTGGATGTGTGAGAGTGAGTGTCGCCCGCTCACGGGTGCTTAGCTTGATGTCAATAAGTAAACCCAGATTGCTGCCCTCAGCACACATACTAATTGGATCATACCACTGCGAAAGGGTGGAGGTGGAACGAACAAGCCAGAAATATAGAGGAGGTGATTAGGTGAAAATTAAAGTAAAAGTTAACCACAGAGGAGGCGGCGTTCCTGGGCAGTCGGTGAATACTGTTGGTTGGCCATATTAGAACATCTTATGCAATTTGCTGAATAAGTGTGCCAAGGTGTGATGATTTTGCTTTGCCTGAGGCATTCTGTTATGCATTCTGTTATGCATTGCCTGCTGAAAGTACAAATGGATAGCAACTGACAATACACAACTTTATCTCAAGATGTTTAAGATGATAATGAGATTGATTCTGATTCTGAGGGGGTAATCTGATGTGGTTTACCTGTAGGTCTGTTGCTTAGAATTAGACACCACTAAAGCAATATAATATCCAAAGAGCGTTATGTAGTTGCAGGAAAAGGATGCCATATCACCATGTACACTGCTGCTAAATACAGGTGTCACTCTTATTGTGCTGTCTCATTAGGCTTATATTTACAAATAATTGTTGGCAAACTGTTAGCAGCTATGTTTGTGGTTTTGCAGCTGCAAGATGTAATGCGGTTGCCACTAGGGGTGTGCGATGTTGACAAAGTAAAATCTTGATATTTTTGGTGATAACATTAATTAGGCGATATTTTCTGGGAGTGCTCACTTCGGGTGGGTGCAGCTGCTGTGCACACATTAAAAACAGTGCGTGAGTAATGAATCGAGTTCTTTCGCTGCTTCTTGTTCTTTTAAAATCGCTTGATCTTGTAAATTGGCATATTAATCTGCGAATCACATGCGTGCCTGAACTGTGGGGCCTGTTCCGTACGTATCACAGATCAGCTGCGATTTGTTTAACCCGTAATATAGGCTATGACAGATCAGAACAATCATTAATTTAATAATTGAACATTTCATTTACATGAAATCGTCAAATTGCTACTCCATAGCAATCGCATACAACAAAACGGAATACAGAATAATTACAACAATCATTAACGCTCAATAAATAACAGTGTGTCATACACATATTTCCCAGAACGTTCTTGCGACCCGGTAACAACACTTCCACAGGCCGGTACTGGGTCGCGACCCGGTGGTTGGGGACCTCTGACCTAAAATGGAAATCATCATTGGGAAAAAATTTATTTGAAGTGTAGTTTGACTGTTTAGTTTGGCTTATGTCCCATTAATATATTTACATTTACATTTTGTCATTTAGCAGATGCTTTTATCCAAAGCGACTTACAAAGGAGGACAGTAGAAGCAATCATAACTAACAAAAGAGCAACTATATGTAAGTGCAAATGACAAATCTCGGTTAGCCTAACGCAGTACTAGTGTGACCAGACTAGGGCTGTCAAAGTGGCTGAAAAACAAAATTTGAATTTTTTACTTTAATATTATCAGTATTCGAATTTAAAAGGCATAATTTCAGTTAGGGGGAAAAAAGCTTTTGGCTTCTCTCCTGAGGCCACAAGAGGGCGCATCGAACAAAATATTATGCACGTTTCTTCAAAGCATAATAAAATAACAACTATCTTTGAAAAAATGTATAAACTATATATAATTAGTTGCTTAAAGAGCAGGTCATATTGGTTTTTGAAAAATATCTCTTTTGCAATTTATAACGTAGCTATCCTTAAATGAAAACAATCTGCAAAAAGTGCATGATAAACAAATATATTGTCTCTCAAAAGAGAGAGTCTATTCTGAATCGCCTTAACGAGTCGTCATATTTTAGAATCTTTTGCCTGTTACCGGTATACGTCACTGGGTAACACATTTGCATAATCCCCGCCTGCCCGTGAAATACGAACAGAGTCTGACCTGCCCACAAACACTTCCGCTAGTTAGTGTGTTTACATCATGTTGAGAAGACGCTGTGTTCAAGGATACCACAGAAATACAATTCGAACCTTTTGTTGTGTGCATGTCATTTTACCAAGGATTGCTTCTCTAATCTTGACTTTTATCTTCGTTGGCTTCTAATCTTCTTTATTTGGAGTTTATGACTTATGCTGCAGCCGGCCACCAGATGGCGATCAAAGTTTTGGCTTCACTTTTTAGGTCAGATAAGGCACACTTGGTCATTTCATTAGAGCACGAAAAATTGCAGCTGCTCTGAGACACACAACAGTTTTGCTCCAGCTTTTTTGAACATATTTTTGTTGGTGAAACAGAGCAAAAACTGACAATATTATGTCCAAAATGTAACTCACTCAATAACAACAAAATTTTTGTTAAACTTTTGTATAAAATCAACACATTTGCGATCGCAATAATGAGCTGATATTTGGGAAAACTGTGTTCCTGCTTGTGTGATATTACTTTATATCATATCTTACAAATATACAAAACAAAATCTCATTCAGGGATATTTTTTGCCCTAATAACTTTTCAATTATAGTGTCATCCAGTAGGCTTCATGAAGCATTGAATGGTTTTGGACTCTCAAGACTTGTTTTTGTTTGTTTTTTTGCCAAGTGAGTGACATACTCGATTATGTCAGCTCCCATATTGGTAAAACTGCAATTACAATATTATTGTAGACGATAAATATCGCACACCCCTAGTTGCCACTCACAAACTTTTGCATTGTGTTAGTAAGTGACCATCTGGTTTGGTTAAGTAGTCTTGATATTATGTCTTTTTTCATGTTAGTATTTCGGCCAATTTTGATTCTTTTGCATTTGTCAAGTGGCTGTTTGGCCCTATTGTCATGCATCCTGCTGGACTGAACATTTGTGCTCAATTCTGTCTTTCTGTTCTTTATTGCATTCTTCAAGAATGGCGCTGGACATGGCTGACTCACAGTACCTTCTCATCCTGGCACCGTCGCTGGTCATTGCTCTCATGTTCCTCTTTTTCTGGCTCTTCATGAAAGAGACTTCCTACGATGAGGTTCTGGCCCGCCAGAAACGAGACCTCAAATTGCCTCCCGCCAAGCCCGATACTCGTAAAAAGAACGAGAAAAAGAAGAACAAGAAGAAGGAGACTGGCGGAAGTGGATTGGGAGGAGGTGGGGGCGGCGAGTCAGAGGAAGACCTGAGGGATTTCGATACATCTGATGCCACTAGCCCTACCTCGAATGATGAAGATTCTGAGGTGGTGCCCGTGAGTCCACCTGTTGCTGCTCCGGTCCTGGCAGAACCTCCGTCTGGGATAAGAGAAAGAAAAAAGAAAGAGAAAAAGCCAAAAGCTTCTCCAACAGCTGCTCCAGCTGCTGCCCCAACGGTTGTACCCCTTTCCCGTACAACCCCAACTACTCCTCCAACTTCAGAAGAACCAGAAGTCAATGGCTCCAAACCTGCTGTCCGTAAGGAGCCGCCCCTCCCCCTGACCAAACAGTCCAGTCCACCGCAGCCTCAGGCCACGCCCTCTGCCCCCACTGAGACTACCAGCAAAAAGAAAGCCAAGAAGCAGAAGAGTGAGTCTGGTGAGTGGACTACCTACAAATAGGAATATGTCTTATGCAAATGCCATGCAATTGCTCCTTGAAAATGTGCAATGTTCTCATTCATGAGGGCAATCCAGCTTTTGAACTGTAAAGCCTAAAAGTATACTTTAGTTATGATGCAAGCACTTTGCATATATGTACAGCTGGTTTTTGCAGTTCTTCCAAATATTTCCAGATGCCGAAATTCCAGTGCATCACTACTAAAAATCATTCAGAACCAGAACCATTCAAAAACCATTCAGAACACCCTGACAACCACCATCATTACCCTAACAACCACCCAGAACACCTTCTTCTCATGTTCCTCTCTGAAGATTTCTGACTCTTATTTCTCACAGAAGAGCATCCACCTGAGGTTAAGCCTGATCTGTGTCCTCCTGTGGTGAAGAAGGAGGAGCCTGTGATCACCGAGGTGGAGGTAAAGGCAAAGGACGGAGCCGCTCCTTTTGCCACAGCAGCACCACCAACTGCCTCTAGCGGCAGTGGGCGTAGGAAGAAGAAGCAGAAGGTGGAACCTGTCATCACAGGTAAGAATAAGCCAAAATCAGACAAACTAGAGAGGTTAAAATTCTCAGTTGAGTCAACAGTGAGAGCAAAAGGGAAAGGTCAGTGAATCAATAAAGTGGGCATCTGGTCTGTTAGATATATGGCAAGGTTTTATAAAGCCCATATCACACAATATAAAAGGGTTATTTCAGCTAAACATGAAAATCTATGATCATTTGCTCACCCTCATGTTGTTCCAACCATATGACTGACTTGCTTCCAAGCAGTGTTGGGCAAGCTACTTGTAAAATGTAGTGAGCTAAGCTAGCATTTACTCTACATTAAATGAAGCTTCACTACACTGAAGCTACCCTCTGGGAAATGTAGCAAGCAAAGCTACAGCA